CTAAAAATCTTAAGGGCGCCTTAAAAAGCTTTTATCTACTTGAAATCTACTTCTGAGCCCTTCAAGGGGGTCACCTACCTTAGCAGTGGCCTGCAGAGCTCCACAGTATATGGGTAGAGTCCGCCGGAGGTAATGTTCAGCGGTTTTTTCGTGGCCGCAGGAGAGATGGCACTCTTCTGGATGTGTCCGCTGGTCCTGTCAGAATTCATCATCGTTGCACGCCCTCGGAGCAGTGGTCTGGCTCTCGCATAGCGCTAGTGGCCTACTGCCCCGCCAACATGCAAAAGCTCCTTAATTCCTTCTTGGAATTCCTTAGATCATTAGGGTTCAGACCTCCCGTCCCATCGCAAGACTCGGCTGTCGTCTTTGCATAGTTTCGCAAGTCGACATTCACCACGCACCACAGAAGCAGCCGCAGTACGAAAGACGCGGGACGCTGTATAGGTTGTTTCCCGTCCTTTTACTTTTGACTTGCTCTACGCTTAATTAGTGTCTTGTGCATTCCACATACTTTTGTGTTGTGTGTTGCAGGTGACTGACTCACGGATGAAGAGAAGCGCCCAGACGTCCAAAAAAAACAAGGTTTAGATTTCCCGTCCCTCTCGCCTCCTCAGGCGCTAGGTTACGTACAAGAGCAATGCTTGGATCCATGCGGTGTAATTAGTCATGACGACCGAGAGGCTTTTTCCTTGCTTGTGCCCCTTTTTATTTGCGTACCGGCCATCGGAATTGATGCATTAGCAAAGCCTTAAGGACTCAATCAGGCCTCAACATGGCGTCAACAGGGCCTCAACCAGGCCTCAACAGGGCCATGAAGCCCAAAGTCCCCGGCAGGCTTCAACGTTGCTTGAAATCCTGCCTGTTACTGGAAAATTACTCTTGGCCTCAGCAATGCTTGAAATCCTGCCTGTTACTGGTGTGGCAAGTGCAGCTACTCCTCCGGTACTTTCATAGTTTGTCGAGGTTTATTCAGTTTATTCCACTCTATAACCAGGCTGGAAGGAGCTGGAGGACAGGCTAGATGCCAGCAGTGGGTGGGCCCCGGCTCGCAGGCTACTTTGCGAGGCAAGGCGGCCTCGACTCTTTGGCAGACTGCGAATGGCCCTCGCTAGGGACAGCACCAGCTCGCAGACGGCCAAAATGCGCCGGAATCGTATTTGAGGTTCCGTCGAAGTACTCACAAGAGTCGCGGTGAATATTAAAAACCGCCCGATCCCAGGGGACACCCCCAGACTAGACCAATATGCATGGACAATATGAAAACAGTGGACTTGAGCCGCAAGATTATTTTGGCGAAGCTGGATGAGCAGATTCCCTTGCAAGCGGCTGTAATGGCAACCACACCACATGGGTCCCAGCTCCAACTGAGCATTTTGAGCTCGAAAGCTTGAGCCTCATGAGTTACACTGGTAGTTGGGCCGAAATGACTTGAGCCACAATGACTTAAGGTCTTTAGGGGTTTGGTTTCAGGGCCATCTTACTTTTCAAAATGCCATGGGCTTTCCGAGAGCTCAGCGCGCCCAAAAAATAACCCCCCCCCCCACAGATGTTAAACCATATACATGTTTGGTAGGCTTGGTTTGTGCTGCAGCTGTCGTTTTCGACGTTTTTTCATAATCTGACATCATGGACACGCAATGACACATCCACTGACATGCTTTCTGAAATCAAAGCGTTCAATAGAAAAAATGTCTCATCAGGAACTGTGTGAACTTGTCGGGCTTCATCAGTCAGAGCCATCAAAAGTGTTGAGAGAAAGCCTGAATTCAACGAAATGGGACGGATCTTGCATGGCAAAAAGTCTGTGATGCCTTGTCATGGGAAAACTCTGCATGTATGACAGCACACAGCTTGCTGCACTTGTGAGTTCCAATGAGTCTGCGACGGCTTGCGTTTTGCAACTTGCATATCGCTCGAAAGTTGCGAAAGGGAAGCAACTACGGAGACCACGCAGCACCACATCCCAAAGGGTTGAAAATTAACCTGCTCTTGTACGGGCCACTGAGCGGAATTTGGAACCCATCACTTCCAAATCTGAACCGCTGAAATACGCTGCCCCTGGAACCTACACCCCACGCCTTCAAAAAACAAATGACCTACACCATTGGTGCCCTGGAAACCTGGTTCTCTAACTCTGGCAATCTTAAACCCCACACTACCCCACATCTTCGACCCTGCACCTGAATGAGTCCCAAAACCTTGAACATAAACATCCTCAAAGGCCTTTAGGCATCTAGCCCTTAAACCCTAACGCAAAGGACCCAAACGGATGGTGGTGCGCAAAGCCATTGTCTCATCTCACAGTTCGGGCCTGGGCGAACAAGGGCTGGGAACTTACACGCAGGCAGCTGTTCATGGGCCAAAGTCAGTGATACAATGATTGCGGAAGGGTTGCAAGGCGGTACAAAAGTACAACGCTCTACCTACCAAGTTAGGATGTGTGATCGTGGGTCAATGACTTGGGGCTATGACTTGGGGCTATCAATGTGAATCAAGGTAAGTACTCAAAAGATTAGCCGCACAGACTGGACATGTTGGTATGCAACTGAAAATGAATGAGGGGCGCCATCAGCAAAGCTTTGGCACATGCGCAGTCAAATGAAAGCTCCCCACGGACAACACATATTTTCATCAGAAATCCTGAGTCTTGACTCGTTGCCTGCACAGAGTGGCATGAGTGCTTTGGAGAGATTATGGCGGAGAGGCATAGTACGCCCCGGCCATTGCGGATGCAACAATCACCCAAGTGAAAAGCCTTCTTGAGCACACCCGGGCATTGAAGCACGAAAACTTCCCGACAAACTGCACACATCTGCAGTCTGCAAACAAAAGCTCCCTGACGGGACTTCAAAAGCTTCATCAGCTTGATAAGGCCTGCTTGAATGCAGTCAAGAGTTGCAGCTCTGATGCCAAACGCGATTTCATCGCATCATCCTTGGCAGTGAGCTGGCCTTGCTCAACGTCCTGAAGCTTCTTGTTCAGGGCATTGAGGAGGTTGGGATCCTTGCTTGCATCAATCCACACTGGCAACCGAACTCCCTGGGACAAGGTAGAAACCTTCTCTCCCACAACAGCCCCGAACGGCGTGAAGAGCATGTCCCCGACATCCAGCGTTGTTGCCCGCAAGCCGCACTCATCAGCGTAGGCAGCGAGCATCTCAGCATTCATGCTCCTCAGGAAGGCGGCCAGGCGAGCCACAGGGAATGGCCCTTGCATCCCCTTCCGCTGACAAAATCCAAGCAGTTGCAACCAATCAGTCACCACCACCGCTCTTGTGCCTGCCATCGTCAGCCGCACTGCTGCAACCAGGGCTGGTTCCGCCGACACTTTATCGTAGGCAACATCAATTGCAAAGACACTCAGCAACGTTGCCTTCTTCAAAGTGTCCCCCATCTTCTCAGCAGGCAGCACGCCGCCATTCAGCATCTGCAGAACCTTCGGCGCGACAGTGATGTCGGACTCAAAGTCCGGAGCCAACCCCTTGGATGCTCGGGCTAACTTCTGATCCTTACGGCAGATGTCGAAGCTTGCCTTGAAGCCATCTAGCTCACTGGCGTACGCTGCAGTGACATCCTTGACCAAGTTCGGCGCCTCAATGATGAAGGGAACCTTGAAGTCCAGGTCAGCATCGGCAATCTTGTCCAACGCCACCCGCTTAATCTGGCGCCCCACTGCCACTCCCTGATCAAACAAGGCAACCACCGGCGTGGCTGACTGTGCACCCTTCTTGCCCTCCGCTGCAGCCATGCGCACCTTCTGCCGCTTCAACTGCTCCCGCCCAGCCTTGATGCTCCGCTCAGCCTTCGCAGCATTCTGGAGCAGCTGGCTCAAAGGGTTCTTGATGTCAGAAATCATGGCCGTGACATCCTGAAAGGCGAAACTGCGAGAGAAAAAAAAAAACAAAAAACCCTCCCACGCAAGCTGCAAAACAACCCTCACCTTACATTACCAGCCCTAGCCCAAGCACCCAAAGCTGTAACAAACCTTAGTTGACCCCGAAGGCGCTAGAGAACATGGCTGGCTCAAGGAGGGTGAACGCGTGGCTTCAAGTTTGGGAAATACAGCTGAAGGTGTAAGCGTGCAAGGTTTTGGTCATCGGGTTTTGGGTTTGATCTTCCACCTAATTCCACGCTACTCCCTGGTCCTTGATGTGCTTTGGGAGGGATGCGCTATGGTACTTCTCGCAAGCAGCAAGGAGCTCTGACACGGGCTTCAGCTTGGCGTACAGCTCACACGGCGGGCAAGAGCCCATCTCAAGCTTGGCAGCAGGAAGCTCAGCATCATCCCCGGATTGGGCCACAGGACTGAACCGGCCAATGAAATGCTTGATCAATTCAGCATCCTTCTGCTTGAAGCACAACTCCAAGGCTTCAAGACGCACGCGGAACATCTTCAGCTCTCCAGCGAAGTGATTCTTCGCGTCCTCATCCAACTCAGCCAGCAACTCCTTCTCAGCCTGCAGCTGCTTAGAGAGCTGCTCCTCACCCTTCTTTGCGAAGAGCTCAGCCTGCGACTTTGCTGCCCTGTAACTGCTGGACACCACAAACCGTGTCCACCCAGATCTTGGGCTTCTCCGGATCATCCTTCTTGGCCTCAGCTGCGGGAGCTGCAGAAGCTGAAGAGGGGTCTTCATCCTCGTCATCAAGCTCCATGTCGGGTTGAAGCTCCAGAATGTCCATCACAAACCCATCGCTGGCCTGGAAGGTGTCTCTGCCGTTTTTGACAAGGGTCGCAGCAACGCCATCGAAGCCCATGCCCGCATCGTGGCCCATCATGATTGCGGGCTTCATTTTCTCGATGTCCTCCTCCGTTCCACGTTGGACCACATCGCCCTCGCAGTCGACGGATTTCTCCTTCATGTAGGTGGATCTGTAGATCAGCTGGTCGGCGGTTTTAACCCAGATTCTCAACTTGCCTTCTGGTCCTTTGAAGTCATGAAGAATCTCCGGGTTCTTCAGCTGGACCTGTGCTGCCCACTCCTGACTCCTGCCACTTGGCCATTGCAGCCTCCTCAGTCATCCGCCCCCCGCGAATGGTTGCACTGAACTCCAACCACAATTTCTCCCACGTCATCTCTCCCAAGGTGTCGGACACCAAGCCGGACGCTGCGACCACCCTCTCCATGTACTTGATGCAGGACCACTGGCCCCTCTTCTTTCCAGGATGATGCTCTGCAGCTTCGGGACAGGCCTCGTTGTACGAAGAAAGCATGTTGTAAAGGCGATCTTCATCCTGGCGAGCTTCCTGCACAAATTTCACGGCCTTCGGTCCTTGACGATGTGCCATTTTCGTGATGTTGTCTAGGGAGCGTTTGCAGGGGAGGCAGCCCGGCCAATTCGGGGCTGCCTCCCCTGGGGCCAACTTTTTGCGGCATCCTTTGCATTTTTTGACTATCGATCTGCGAACTGCCTTCGCCTTGCTCTACGCCTGCAGGGCTTTTTTGCCGGACTTTGGTGAGCCCGGCGCCTTACGTTTCTTGGGCGTGGAGACCTGGTTCTCCTGCTCAAGGATCCAGTCTTGATCTACACTGTCCATGCCTGCGCGCGAAGGCTCGCCCATGATTCACTGCTTGGCAAACACGTGGCGGCCCCTAGCCTGAACAGCCCGACCTTATCAGCTGCAACACAGCCTGGCAAAGGAAAGCCTTGTATTCAGCATCACAATGATATCAGCACAAGTGTTCAGTGGCATGAGCTAGTTGGCGCCTTGGCGAATCTTTTGCACTGGGCCAGCACTGAGAAACGCTGGGGAGGTTTGAATTGCACTTCACAAGCCAGGCTAAGCCTGAACAAGGATGGCACACGCACGCAACATGCCTTCAGAGCATGACTTTCTTCAATGAAATCGCACAGCCTAGAGCATACATGGAAAACATGATCCAAGGATCTCACTCTGCAGCCTCATGGTGGGCGCTTGGGTCACCGGACGAATCCTCAGTGATCATGAACACAAAGGCGACCAACAAGCCCAGCAAATGGCAGTGGATGGAGTTGCCAAGCATTTTTGTGAAATGGCGACGTTGGCTGGCCGTATTGATCATCTTCTGGGGCCAGGGGAATTCTTTTTCATCATCATCCGCATTGATTGGGCAGGGCCACCCCAGCGCTCGGAACAGCTCAGGCATGAGAAGCTCCCGCTGCTTCTTGGACGAAAACACCAGAGAGCCGGTCAGAACACTTGGCATGTAATCAGAAAAGACCCTGCGCACGGACAAGTTCTGCGACAAGTCGAATATTGGGAACATGGTCTCACCATTCTGCTGCAAAATTTGAAGCTGCGCACTGTATTCTTGAAGTCGCTTCCTGGCTCCAGCAGGCAAGACAGATACTCCCAGCTGCGAACGAGGCACAGTTGTGGCATCCAAGTGGCGGGCTTCACCTAGAGCTAGCAACTGGCGAGTCAACTCGCCCTCCTCCACGCAGAAGTACTCATGTCCTGTGGTGACAACCTCGCGGCCACAAAGCAAAAGGAAGTTCTCAGCACTGCAAGGGATCTTCAAGCGGAAGCGCGGGCCAATGGTCCAGGAAAAATTCCTTGGACGCCTGAAGGGAATACCCATATCAGTGGGACTCAGTGTCAGCACCGAAGTTTCCCAACCATCCTCGACAGGAAAAGCAGCCTTAAAGAAATCCTTTGTCGGGAACATGTTGCTACACTCCTGCAACACAAAGTCTGGATCTGTCGAGCAAGTTCGCACAAGCCATATTGACGCAGCCACGGCTGTGTCATGGCACCACCGATCTTTGGCCCCCTGCGGACTCCAAGCAACGCATGGATTTCCAGCCACCTCCAAACGAAGGTCTTCAGGACCCATGCGCGGGAGGAAGGCGCAATTCTTCTTGCAAATCAAACAGAAGCCTTCGCTATTGACCTGATTGCTTGCAGCTGCCGCCTTCACCTCGTAGAACAATTTGCGCATGCACCTGTTGTTGATGCTGTCAAGTTCCGCCTTCAACTTTGGACCTTTTAGTTCTGATTTTGCTTTGCGGGCTCGGGTCTGGAATGCCCCAACGATGAAGCGCAACTTTGACACAACTTCTTCTGCACAGAGCTCCTCCACATTCGCAAACAAGTGCATGGGATGAATCTCAGACTTCATTAGCATCTCTTGACATTTGGTGTCACTCTCGAACGCTGAGTAGAAGCGGAATGGTCCAAAGTGAGAGGCCATTCCCATGCCCCCCTCGTGCCAAGCTGCAAGGCGGCTGAACACGTGCTCAAAGGTTCCCAACCCTGAGTAAGCTGAGGTGATCCAAATTTTGCGCCTCGTCAAAGAACCCAAGTTTGAGGAGACACCGTGCTTGGCCAGCAAGGCATCCTGCATATCACCAACCTCACCTGGCCAATCGCGCAGAGAGGTCTTCTCACACGAAGCTTCAGATTTGCCTTCAAAGCACTCTGTGCTCAAGCGTCGCATCTTCGCAGGTGGCCCCATGTCACTCGCAGCACTGGACATCTTGCTACAAGCCTTATTAACAAACAGTACTGCTACAATGTTACAAAGATGAAGTTGTTGTAAAATCTTTTTACATAATCAGAAATCTGGGCTCGCATGCATGGAACGATTTTGGAAGCAGCCTGCTTCTTTGCATGCAAAGAAGTAAACAAGGCATCTGCAATGAATGATATGAAGCCACTGCCTGTTGCTTGAGAAACACAACTCATCATCAAGGCTGGACAACGCATGCCATCCACTTGCGATATGACCCCACAAGATGCATGGATACTCCAGACGCAGACTAGTCATCACTCAGGCAAGAGACATGTGGCAGCTTCTGCTTGGTACACCGAGACCATAGATAGAAATTCTAGAGACATGCCATGTATCCTGGGCATTCTGCGAAAAACCGAGCTCCAAACGCGAAAGCGGGAAGGGCACAGACGGCACAGACCTGTCACAGACAAATATCAGGCGATCAGGACCCACAGGCACCCATGTGCACCACAACTCCAAAAAAGTGAAGGTAAATGCAATCAGCGTGACCAGATTCTGGCAGTTTGCAATAAACTTTATGGAATCATGATTTTCGCATAATCTGGCAGACAACAAGGCCAACCTTCGCGCAAGCGTCGCGCAAGCGTCGCGCGCTGTCGCGCGCTGAAAATCGCACCCAAAATGAACCCTTTACCATGGGGCTGGGGGGTCAAAATGAGGCCAAAACCGTCGCGCACCGTTCGCGCACCCAAAAAACGGTAACCGTCGCGCAAGCGTCGCGCAAGCGTCGCGCACAGTCGCGCACCCACCAAACCATGCTCTGTGGAACCCTCTTGGGACCCTCCAGCCTCAACTTGTATCTTTCTTACCAGAACACAGTGCTCTGACCTAGAAACTTCCGTTGGACAACATTTTCCACCCATTTTCCTGCTGGCAATCTTCAGGCGTTCCAAACATGCTTCCAACACAGACCCCGGCCTGCGAACCAACATTCTCGAGCACGATCGGACTTGGTCGGAAACCTGGCCAGGATTAAGCCCTATAACCTGCTCAATCAAATGTCTGCCCAGCCTCATCCAGCGAAACACATGGCACCACGAGCACAGCCTGCATCAGCAGCGCGATGGTTATGAGGCACTGAAATAATAGACCCGTGCGCACGCATACCAACTGCATACAACCACCGATCATATGGCTGCCTGCTTTCGATGACAGGAGCAGTTGAGGAGCCAACGCGCAAAGAAGTCATCAGGTCCTGACACAAGCAAAGCAAAGTTTCAACTATTAAAGCCAAGCCCTGCAGCCAGTCCTCCAGATTTTCACGAGGAAGATGAAGAAGACCCATCGCTCTCAGACGATGATTCACTCCCTGAGGCAGACCCTTGAGAACCCAGAGGATCAGACGCCGATCCTGCACCTGACCCCTCAGCTTGATCATCAACACTTGGCACTCGCACTGATGCCTTTGCT